TCCATAAGACGACTCTCCTCTCTCGACTGCCTCCCGAGGTCCTTGGTAAATAGATCAGGGTAGTCTGATGATCCAAGCAAAATAACAACTGCTGATCAGTTGTGGGACCAGATCCCTTCCTCCTCTAATTGTTAGTTTGAATTTTGAAACTTTAAAAATAACAAGCTTTCCGAATTGATGGGTGGAGCCTAGGGGGCGGGTTGTTTCGCTCTTGCTCCGCGCTGGTGGACAGTGTTCGCTCCAACTCGGCAGCTGCAATGTACTTCAGACGCGTCCTTGCTAATACGATCTTGAGCCGGGCTCAGGAAACGCTTGAGAGAGTCGTACTCATGGTAGGTGCGGCAATCAGCGAAGCCCAAGTGTCTTCTCTGCTTTCCTTTACACCACCTGTACCTCACCATTCGTGGATTTCAATCAATCCATTAGTGGATTTTAAACCACCAGTACTTGGCCCAGCTATCGATGCAGAGGCTGGAATGCCCCTACGCGCCAATTTTTGCCACAGCGCCGGGGTACCGTTTTCAATTTTTTTTGGGCCAGCGCTTCCAGCCATTGTGGTCCGGTACCCCGAAGCCCTAAAGGCAAGGCGCGTTAACCGGGAAGCGCCGTGGCCGATATATCATAGCTGGGCCAAGTACTGGTGGTTTAATGAATCCATTCACCATCTTGATTTGATGAGAGAGGAACAGATGCCTGAGAGGTTGACGAACATCTTGACTGGATTGCAATCTCCGCGGTTCACAATGAATCACGATAAACTGGCAGTTCAATGCCGTTTTACCGCGGGCTCGCGGTGAATCCATTTCCAGACACTCAGCCAGTCAGCAAATGCGTAAAATGGGAATGAATGTTTCACTAGAACCCCGGAAATATACACCGCCATTATTTTTGGGCTTTGTGCAGTTGGTGAGTGCCCAACCAATGCCCATCATCGCAGAACCCATTGGTTTGGTTTCCCTCTTTTTTTACGTGCTTAGTAGTCGCTTACGGTCTGTACAATTCAATGTCCGACACTTTCTCAGTCGCATTTCCTGGGATACCATTGATAGATGCCAGAAAATGCGCTGCTTATCCGACGGCCCATCTCACAAATGGGCAGAACCAGTCGGGATGGGTCACAATGTAGTGCTACACCCGACTGGAAGAACTTTAACAGAAGGTAGTAGTCTAGTAGATGAAAAAAAAAGGAGGAGAATGAAAACCAGTGAAAGGACACAAACATATAAATATAAATACTCTTAGTAAAGAGTGTAGCGGGTCTCGCGTGACGCTCCCGGGAGGCCTGGCTGCCACTCTTGGGAAACACCGTTTCCATCTCGGGCGCCGCGCAATGCGGGCCGCATTGGCCTGGCCATCTGCGAGCCTCTGGCCGCATGTCCGAATACAGGTCAATAACGGCCGGGAGGATTCTGTGCCCTGCTCTCTCATTTTGTTCTTGTCTTCTCTCGACTCCACGTGTTGTTTGCCAGTTATTCCTAACTTTAGGTTTTTCTCTTTTTGGATCCTGTGACTTGGTTGTCATTTTTTTATTTTTTTTTTCTGTGACCGTTTTGCGTTCACATGTGTCATCCTGTGTCAGGGCCTGGCTCCACTACGCACCATATGTGCAAATGAGAATGAACCTTCTTCTGGAACATGGACAGATTCAGGGCCCTGCTCCACTACTCTCCACATGCGCGAAAGACGAAAATATATGGCCGTGTATATAATTCCATGTTCCAGCAAAAAAAATTGTTCTCACTTGCACATTTGGAGAGCAGTGGAGCCAGGCCCTCCCTCGACTCGCCACGACATACGAAAAAAAAAAAAAATGGCACTGTGGGCCTGGCTCCACTCTCTCCAACTGGGGCTGGAACATGGAACTATTCACCAACATATTTTCTGTCTTTTGTGCATGTGGAGAGTAGTGGAGTCAGCCCCTTGAGGCCCCATCCTTGGCCAGGGAACGCTGTCCCTCCATGTTATCTGGCTGGAGAATGAATCTTCCACTAGAAAGGTGGGAAGATACACCACCATCTCTTTTCTCTTCCTTCTTCTTTTTTGTCTGCCTGCCAGGGCCACTGTCCCTCGATTTGGCCTGGCTGGAGAATGAATCTTTCGCTGGAACATGGGAAGATACACCACCATATTTTTCTCATGGTAACCGACCGGACGTCCGGACCGGGTTCCAGACAGTCCGGAACAACATGTCTGGGTCCGGTGTCCGGTCCATGATGTCTGGATGGGGAGAAACGACACTGAAAAATCACCCCGTTACATTTTAAGGGGCGGCCGGCCATGATGTCGTTTCACCCCACCGGACAGCCCCCACAGCAAAAATCAAAAAAAGAAAAAAAGGGCGGCCGAGGACGTTTTTCGGGTCCTGGCCGCCCTTAAAAAAAAAAAAAGGGGGTGCTTTTTCAGTGTCGTTTCACCTCACCGGACAGGGCCTAGAGGTATGGACACAAGACACTGCAGGTTTTTGGGGTGGCGGATTTCGCGCAGTCCCGAAAAATTTCAAAGCGGCCGTTTTGATGTGGCGCCCGCCGCCGCTGCCCATTGTCAAAAGAGTGATGTGCCGCCCGCCACCGCTGCCCATTGTCAAGAGAGAGAGAGAGAGAGAGAGAGAGAGAGAGAGAGAGAGAGAGAGAGAGAGAGAGAGAGAGAGAGAGAGAGAGAGAGCACTGACAGTGCTGCCAGTCTGAAGACTCTGACATTCTGAATTGAACTGCGAACTCTGAACTTTTTAATCATACGAAGTTATGAACTTAAATTTAAATTTAACTTGATTCAAACTTCAAACGTCGAAGTTAATCATACTTTTTTCAAATTTGTTTTTCTCTGTTTCTTTTGCAATCAGACTCGCTTTACTCTTCAACTCGCATACATGCAAACAGATGGCAAATCAAACTGGTGCTGAGCGCCCACTCAAAAGTCAGAGATATGGAGTTCGAGAAGAGAACACAGTTCAGATGCAAACTCACTTCGTCAGGCTATGGTGCAATAGCGCCTGTACATCCCACTCTCGACTGTGTCCGCCGCCACTGTTCACACACGCACGCACTCACCCTGGATCACCCTGAATATTCCACACGCTCTCACTGTATCGCACTCACACATACACACTAGCCCCTAGCTCCTACCTTGGCGGCTATGGCCACAGGCCCACGACTAACTTCTACTACTAACAACTATCTCCTTCTCTGCCCACTTCGACTTCGGGCTGTCTGCAGACCACCTCGCACAAGATGCTCGGGCAGCACTTCCGCATGGCACACCGCAGAATGAATGAATGGCTGGACGCTGCCTCTTGACTTATACTCCTGTTGGCCGCTGGTCTTGGTGCACACAGTCCCGCATGGTACTTGCTGTCTGGACTATGTGTGACTGGGACTGGCACCGCTGACTCAGCACGGTAGGACTCACCACTTGCCCACTTGCCTCTGACTAAGCGTAGGCCTCTCTCGAAAGGCCACTTCCGGAAGGTCCGGAAGCTTGCGGACTTGGCTTTTTGGGTACTGTAGCAGCTACAACCTTGACCTTTCAGGACTGTAGCAGCTACGACCTTGACCTTTCAGTATGACCACTTTGGCCCCTACACGACAGATCTACAGTTCGAGACCCGACATCTACACAGACCTACGACAGGCGACAACTGACTCCTACGACACAGGTCACGGTTCAAACTCACGGGGTGCTGTACACAGGTGAGCGAGGTCTAGGGATCGAGCCCTGGTATCTGCATCCGCTACTGCAAAAAGGTGAAAACCGTTTCACTTTAGTCTTGAGCCTGCTTTGCACTGTTGCAAAAAGGTGAAAACCGTTTCACTTTAGTCTTGAGCCTGCTTTGCACTGTTTGCAACTCAGCATGTCTGCTATTTCAACGTGCTTGTTGATTAGCTGCAAGACAGGTGCTCTGTTGCCTGAACTACAAAGCGCAAAGCAGGTGAGTGCCTGTCAACACCCTCACCCACCGACCTACTCCATCGTTTTTTTTTTGTTTTTTTTTTTAGGGTCCGGACATTCTGCTCCCCCTGACACCGGTCCGGACTGTCCGGGTGTCCAGTGGTGGTGTCCGGAAGTGTCCGGTGTACGGGTCCGCGGCTACCATGATTTTTTCCTCTTTTCTTGTCTGCCTGCCCTCCCACCCCGGCAGATCCTGCCCGCTCGGCACTAGCCCTGTCTACATCGTTTGTCGCCTGCCTATGCCCACGGCGAAGTTATGGGTTATTTTAGGCATTCCTCCCCCCCTCCCCCCCTCCTCGCCCTTCTGTGCTGCAGCTCCGCCGTGGTGCGCACCCACCCCGCATGACATGGCCGGCCTTCGTTGGTTCATCTCAGCCTTGCCTCTGGGCCACAGCTTCGCCGCAGCGGGCCCGACTTGTATCCATAAAGAGTCCTTTGTCGCTTTCTAAGGTTTACAATTCAATTCAAATTTCAAATGAAAAAATACTCTCTTTTTCATCTGCCCATTATCAATTTCTCTCTCTCTCCATTCTTCTTCAGCACCTCTCTCCTCGTCTCCACAGGTTCCAGCGCAGTCTGTGCTTACAATAGCTACAGACACGTTTTATGGCTGTCCGTCTACGTGTCTATCCATCGGTCTCTTTCTCTCGACAAACACACACAAGCAACACACTGCGCATCGACAGCAAACTGACGAACAAACAAAGTTGCGCCCATGTCGAAAGCCCAAAGGCGGACCACGATCATGCATAACTGTCTCACAGCCACATCTACAAAAAGTTTGCAAGCAAAAATTCCATGCACATTGCACTTCTAATAAACATATCGATTTTCTTCCATCTCTTAAGACTAAACCCACAAATCCCTCCCCCTTCGCCMCCCCSTCCCCCCCCCCCCCCCMYCCCCCCCCCCAAAAAAAAAAAAACAGAAACACCTTTAGGGCTACACAAATTTTTCCACATGCACCCCCATAATCAATCAATCCGGTTTTCTCCTGTGCATGAACGCTAAGGACAGCAGCGCGAGAGGACAACCAGATATGCCAGACGAGTACGTAGATGCAGAGGCAACAATGAAATCGCATGGATTACAAAAAAACATTTTGCAAGAGATCTCTTCCCCGGCTCTTTTTTTTTTTTTTTTTTTCCCCCAGGCTTGAATAGTTGAGAACAGAGAACCCACTTATGTTCAATCAACTGTTTCTTTTTTAATTGACACTCATCGAGTCGTATGAATCGCACGCATAGCGAAGGAGTAGAGAGACACGAACGACAATCTCCACCAGCTTTAGGTGATCAATGAATGATGATCCCCTTAGGAATCCAATAACAAGCTGCTACCCGGCGCACCCTATAACAGGCACCACTCGACTCTGAATCGACAGCCACCTGGATATTGTCCATTGGTATGAACAGGACTGGAAGAGGCAAAAACAACTTCATGGCCGACTGCCCACTGTTCGCCATCGAAAACCTCCCCTACTACCGCTAGCTTAGCCCTTACTTGTCCTGCTCCCTCCAGTATGCTCCAAGTGGCATGGATGATGGAACGTCTCTCCGACGTCACGTTCGCAAAACCCTTACCGCGATGTGAATGCACATACCCAGGAGCGCCATGAAAGGAAACGCATAGAATGGCCTGTTTCATGACACGAAGAATACAGTCGAATAAGCTCACCGTTCAATTCGAAAACACACCGATAAGCAGAGAGAGAAACATGGGTCATGCGAAAGCTCAAAACAACCACCAGCGTACTGCCCAGGTAGGTACTTTTCCCCGACCTTTGAATTATCCTCCTGCGTCCTTCGGGACATTCGTTAAAATTGGAACGATACAGAGAGGGTAATTAGCAAATGGCCCCTGCGCAAGCAAGGATGACACGCATAAATCAAGAAATGGTCCAAAAATATATATATATATATATATATATTCCTGCATGCCAGAAACAACAGGAACCGGCACGGCACGGCACGGAACCCCCGAAAGTCGTGGCGCGCTATACGACAAGGGCCCGCGGACGACGTATGCACCAAGTACTGGTTGGTGGTTTAAGAGTTTCTTAACACAGTGGTGTTCGGGACCAACTTCAAGAAATTAAGTGCACGACAGCAATAGAGGTGTACTCACACTAGCAGTATCTCAAATGTATCTGATCGAATTCACGGCCATACATGGAAGTATCTGACCGCAATTCCGTACAGAAATACGTTAAAAAAAAGTCCTAGTGTGAGTATGCTATGCCCTTAGAACATTCCGTGACGGCAACAAACCATTGTACTACATTTTTTTCCACAGAAATCTGGAACCTTTGACGACAACGACCGTTGCAAATTATGCACAAAATGAAAGAAAATTTAGATTATATAAACCTATTTTTGTGCTTTTGAGAATATAGCAAGCATCGAAAAAAGACAGCACACAGTACTACACACTCACTGAGGGTGCATGGCATGAGGAGACGAAAAGCCGGCTGCAAGAACCCTGCTTTTGCAGCACCAGGGGTATTTTTGTAAAGAATCTCTGTTTGCATGGTTTGAGGTGAGATTCCAATGTTATTTTCCGTGTTATTTCGAGATGTGTTTGTTTGTCCACCCTTTCCATTTTCAGCAATTGGACTCTGCTCTGGACAATCTGCAAAACGGCTCCCAGGCCGGGGGACTCTTTCGCAAAATGGCCACCAAACCCATAGAGCCTAAAACAGCCGAGCACCATTACCTTCAAGAAAGTATATGCCTTCGAAATTGCATGGTACAGGCTGCAGAAACTGCATGGCCACTGCCTTGGAAGTTGCATGGTACCAGCTGTAGAAATTGCATGGCCTCTGCCTTTGGAAATTGCATGGCCAACCAACAGGCCTACCATCTTCACCCGAAAATAACGCCCGGGCGTTGTGTAGGGATATAACGCCCGCCGGGCATTATATTCAGTAAATTTGTGGGGAGACTTCCGTGAGGCCACAAAATTCCGAAAAAAAAAAAAAAAAAAAAAAGACTTCTGCAAAAAAAAAGACGTTTTTCCAGGATTGCAATGCGACCAACTTTCGGCTGAGGGTCACTTCAGAATTCCTTTTTTTTTTTTTTTTTTTTTTTTTTTTTTTTTTTTTTGGAAGGGATTTCCAGCCTCCATAGGAAAAAGGAAAAAGGCGGCTCTCTACCAAAGCAAAAGCTAGGTCAGGTCATCCAAGGTCATAGCGCTCCAGTTTCATAAGCGTGTCAGGCAGCTTCAGCTGAGACTAGCATGGCCTTCGTAGTCTACACGACATTACGGAACTAGCTCTGAAAACAGTGTAGCACTGGTAGGAGCCATCAGATAAGGAAGCAGTAGCATGAGGCTAACTTAGGCAGGGGTGAAGGGGGGTATCCAGAATGGAAGTGATCAATGCCATCCCTCGGATCTTCCAGCCATGATGGGGCAAAGCGTTTTTTTTTTTTTTTTTTTTTTTTTTTTTTTTAACAAGTCCTTAAGGTCCTGGCTCCATATCCATTCTGGGAGCGTCAGTCCGGTTCCCTTTTTTTTGTGTGTGTGTCAGTCCGGTTCCTATTCCCCCAGCAAGTCAAAATTGAATTCATAATACTATGTAGTACCCACACACGCTTCCTTCCGTCTGGCCGAAGGAACCCTGACCAGCATTGGTTGCTCCTGCTAAGGAGGATTGACTGTCAGCTTGCCCAGACCACATGTTCCTCTCAGGCTTCAATTCAGAGCCTGTCAGGTAATTCTTTGCACAGCGAGAACAGCGAAAGGATCCGCTACACGCTATGTTGTTTGTCCTTGTCCTTCTCTGTGTACCCTTTGAGTACTGTAGTTGATCGCAGTTCCGACCCTTTTGCCAGGTAGCCCGGTGGGGCCCAATAGTCATTGTGGTATAGCCTGGTATCGTTTCTTCCATCGCAATCTGTTATCTAATATCGTAGCCACCTTGAGCTTTAGCAGCCATTCTCTCTTGAATGTCTGCTTCCTGGTTGCTTGCCTTTCAGGTCTGTGTTGCATAGAGGTCGCTATTCTCCGCCATCTGCTCCTGATTTCTGTCTTTGTCATGCTCAGTAGTAGAGACCACAGTTCTTCCTTTGCCACCTCCGCTTTCTCGATTGTCCGGGTGCATCTGCGCTTCCATATTACCCACAGTGCCAATTTCCTGAGCAGGAGGAACCAGACTTCCCTGCTGCCCTTAATGTTGCTGGGAGTGTTAGATAGCCGTAACATAGAGAGGGGAGGGATGTTGGGGGGGGGGAGGGGAGGGTGTTGAGAACAGGGTTGACCACAGCTCCCGGACCTTCTTCCAGATCCATGTTGCTTCTGGACAGGATAAGAGGCAGTGAGGGATGTCCTCGGGTGAGTTGTTCTTGCACAATGAGCAGCATTCCGAACTCTCTGGGTCGGAATGCTTCCTTCTTGCGTGTAACCCTTGGTTGACGGAAAGGGCTGTTTGTGCTATCAGCCATTGCATGCTGTGGATACGGTTTGGGCGAATAAGAAGGTATTTAGTCCATGGGATGGTGATAGTGGTCGCAGGGTCTAGGTGGAGGATGGTTCTCCACTTTTCCGCCAGCCTTGGGTTCGGGTCACTGGTTTTTAGTCCCCGAGGTTATAGCCGAACTTTACGTCGTATTCTGTTATCCCCCTTGGTTTCCCGGTGGTGCCCTGGTCCCATATCCACTCCTTTGGGTCGAATTCTAAGTCCTCGATGTTGAGTTCCGGCTGGAAGATGAGCCAGGGTTTCCTGTGTGAGACTCTGACCATCCTTCCTTAGCAAGAAGGTTTCAATTTGTTCATGCTGTGCTCTATGTGACACCCGCGGCCTAGGCCACGGGCATTTCGGCCGCTGCGGCCGAGATTCTCGGCCGCGGCCGCGGCCAATGAGGCCCAGTCTGCGGCCCGGTTTTTCAATATTTTTTTTCTCCCCCTAAAAATAGGTAAAAAATATATATATATATATATATGGGGGTGTAGGGCTTGAAAAACCCTACACTCCTATTTTTTTTTTTTGGACTCCGACTTTGTTTAAGATTTAAAAAAAATCAATTTAAACAAAATAAAAAAAACAAATATAAAGAAAAGCAGGATTTTTTTTTTGCCATTATTTATCATGAGATATATGGTCCCTGAGTACTCCTGTATTTTTTTTTGAATTGGATTTTTGTTTTTTGCAGGGAAATGAGGTGTTTTAAAAAAATAAAGATGCAAAATTTTAAAAGAAATTAAAAAAAAAAAAGGTTTGATTGATTGATTGATTGATTGATTGATTGATTGATTGGATTTGATCATAGTTGCGGCGCACGAGTGCGCGGCGCAGTGCGGGGCGGTGCGCACTGCGCTGTGCGCTGGAATGACAGTGTGCGCACTGTGCGCCGTCCGCTGTGCGCAGTGCGCAGTGCGGTCCGCTATGTGCGGTGCGCGCGCTGAGGGAGGTGCACCCTGTGCGCGATATTCAAAAAAAAAAAA